CTGAAGAATTTCAAGAAATTCAGAAAGGTAGGTATTTTTTAAACTGTATCACAAGAGGGCAGTGTTTGAAGTGGTTTTAGAAACACACCTGTCACTAAATGGTAATAAAAGCAGAATGTTGAAAACCTATGCTATCTCTTCTACTTTAAACTGCTAAAAAAAAAAAAATTATTCTAGAAAGGACATGAACTGACAATAAATCAGTGAATATATAGAGCACTTAGAATGAAACAGATTTCATAATACTGAAATCTTTACACATTGATGTTTCCCTGGTTTTTCCTACCTTAAACATTAATTAGGTTTTTGTCTATAATGACAGAGTCCTCCCAATTCTAATACTAATCTATGACTGCCTGCAGGGGTTGTTTAGATTGGGACTTCATACATTAAAGAGATGTAAAGCAGTACAGACGTCTTATAAAATGGTGTGGAAAGATTTGAAACCCTTAAAAATACTGAAATCCTTGACCAAAAAAATTGTGTCCAAATTATAGAAGGAATTCAATCCAAAATTTGTATAGAAAGCTGTTTAAGTAGATAGTCTCAAAGGAATTTGTCTTAGTTTTTCATTAAATTTCCAAATCAATGACAACTTTTTTATACTATTAAAATACTGCTTAATGATGAAAACTAATTTAAACTCTATTTAACATGCTGAAATTTCAAAAGCTTGTTCCATAAATATTAAGAATTTAGTACTTATTCCCTAAATACAGTATAACCAGTGTGCTTGATTCAACTCTACATAGATTTTCTCCGCCTTTTTGTACCCTTTTATTTGTAAACAATTAAAATGTCAACATGTGAAGCATCATCTCCAGTATTTCCTGCTAACAGTCTATAAACTGGAAAAAGCAAATTTTCAAGGTACTAGAAAGGGCTTAAACTTTTAAATCTTCAGAACAAGTTGGTGTTTTAACTTACAATGTGTGTTTCAGATTGAGTTGCTTTAATTGCTACATGGTAGGCTGAGGCCATTTTTTAATAATAATTACAAATTAAAACTCTTAAACTCTTCTTAGTGTGCAAATCCCAGTGACATGTCTAAATCTTAATACAGTAATAGTTTAAGAACAAAAAGACGAAAACAGAGGTGTAGCACAGAATTAATCTGTCTCACATTCATGTATAGGATGTAAACATCTTTGGCATCTTTATGTATGGTTTATAGTGTTCACTTTTTAATCTTTTTAAAAAATATTCATCTTAATTTGTTAATATGTTAACAGATCACATTTCCTGGAGCAGGAAAATTTCCACACATCATTGGAGGATCAGATCTGATAGCTCATCATGCTCGAAAGAATACAGAATTAGAAGATTGGCTGAGGCAGGAAATGGAGGTCAGTAGAAAGTAAGGTCCCCAAACTTATTCAGATTGCATTTTGGTCCTTTGTGGCTTCTTTAGAGTAAATTGTTCTCAAAAACCAAAATTAAGCTATATGATCGAAGGTCACTTATGCAGAAAAATTACTAGGTTTCAGAGCATTAAGATTAATTTGTACCTTTCCATAACGTCTTTTTAAGAGGATTCTAGATTTTTTTTTGTTGGTTGAAGAAAATGGGATCTAAAGAAATTGAATTAAGTAAGTCTATATCCTAATGTAAAGAGGGGAAAAACACATAAGCCACAAAAATTTTTTTTTAATTAAAGCATAATTTATAGCCATGTAGTCATATGGGATATACTACAAAATACACTAGTGACATAGTATGTAAATGAACTGACCTTCACAAATCCAGCTGTTGCGTTTCAGCAGTTCTGAAAATTTCTCATTTTCATGAACAGTTACCCTTTTCCTATTTTCACTATTATTTCTTTCTGGAACACCAGTTTGACATAAGTTAAATTTTCTTATTTTATCTCTTTGTTTCTGTGGACTGTATTTCTGATAATTTCTTCAGATTATCTTCTAGTTTACTGCTACTGTCTTCAACTCTGGCTACTATTGCATCAGTTTTTAATTCAACCTGTTGTATTGTTTCATTACTGGAAATCTGTTTCTTTCTTTTCTAACTCTTATTCACTACCAGTGTTTTTTGCCTAACAAAAAAGATGTTGATTTTTTTTTCTGCTTTGATGGTGACTTCTTTCCTCTGAGTATATAGTCTGTGATCTGTAATGTGAACCAATCATTTCCTTAAAATTTAGTCTGTTTATTTCCTAGAGAAAAGATAGTTTATGTAGTTTTTGTATAGTCTTGTTCTACCAATCAGAAACCACTTTTCTTTTTTCTGGTGCTGTGGATTGAACCTAGGGTCTCCTGCATCCTCACCCCTCATTTTGAATTAAAATCTGTCGTGGTTGTTTTTGGATCACCCAGGCAATTGATATGTGTTTGTAACAGAATGACTGACACCTGGCCTGTTGTTATATACTTCAAACAAGAATTTTTAATTCTTTCCTTTACCACATGCCAGGGTCAAGAGATAGGCAAGTTTTTTTGCTGTATCCTTCGTATCACTTGTACCCTGTATAGGCATCAAATAAGAACCCAGGCTTTTTGCAAATACCTGTAGGGCAGAGCAGAAGCTGGCTGTGGTACTTACTAAGCTGTCAAGGTTCCTTATTTTGCTTTATTGTGAGTATAGTATCTCTTTCAGCAATTCATTTCTAAAAATTCTTTTTTAATCAGGTTTTTGGGTTTGTTTGTTTGTTTTTTCTCGGTATAAGAAGGTTACACCCATTCCTAGAAATACAAGAATTCCAGGTTGATGTGTGTAGTGGATGGAACAGTGTCCTATTCCATCTCTTAATATATGGTCCTATGATTGAGGACATGTAGACATTTAACTGATAAGAACAGATACGACAGTTGATTTCAGCCATAAAGGCTGAAAGGCCAGTGGAGTTAAATAAGAGTTATTAGGAAGGTTTCTCATGAAAGTAGAGTTGTTAGGAATAAGGTCATTCAGGAGATTTACCATCAAAAATGAAAGAATGGAAGAATAATTGGCTTTATGATGTTATAAATATGCATTCTAAAGAGTTATGGCAGTAACAAAAGACTGAAGAAGTTAAACCCAAAGATGACCTGTTTAAACATACTGAGTAAATAATATTTCAGACTTCTCTTAATTGAGGAGGGTGACAGGCAGAGACAGACTGGGAAGGCAGAAAGATTGATAAAAGGAGTTAAACTGAAGGTATTGGTGAATTTTTATAAATATTTCTTCCCTCCAATATATTTATTTCCCAAGATTCCGTCTAAGGCTAGGGGAAAGTATGAAAAAACACTGTGAGATTGAAGACTTTTGTTTGTTTTTTTGTTTTAAACTGCATTATTCAATTTTACATGCTATTGTCTCCTTTCTATGAAGAGTGAGAGACATTATTTGTACTTTCTTGTGCCTCTCCCTGTTTTTCCTAGGTAACTTGCATATGTGCAACATTCTTTTTTAAGACTGAAAATCAGTAACAATCAGAATATATCTGAGTGTTATAGTCATTTTCCATTAATTTTTCCTGGGATACTAGATGGTATTTTGATTTGCAATTGCAGTTATTTTTCCATTTTTAGGAACTTTTCTTTTATGTGTATCATAAAGTATTTTCATATTTGCTAGCCTCTCTACATTTAAAACACAATTATCCTCTTATTGGATAACCTTTGTCCTACATATTTATTTCATCTGCATTCACTGTTGTTTTTCTTAGTTCTTTCGCTATGTCAAAAGTTCCAATTTCAGGGGTATCTATTCTCTTCTGCTTCAGCTATGAGGAACAGTTAGAAACACGTTGCATGTCCCATCAAGTTTCCATTGCTGAAAGAAGACATTGAATCAGGAAAAGGAAGGGCTAGCTGGAGCTATGTGCTGCTTTTATTGAAAAGCTGAGCTTGCTTTCTCCTGGATTTGAATTAAATATCCTGTACCCTGTCCAAGGAGAGACCAGCCAGTCATTTCAGGTTGCTCACTAATTTTGTCAGGAATCCCTAGAACCTTTGCCTTTGGTCAGTGTCAGTCCTACTTTTTCACCTTTCTGTGTCATTAGTTCCTTGCCAGCAGACTGCCAGTAATTCTTTACCCTGCTCAGGATACTTTTTTCCACAAATTTGAGACACCAGTAAGAAGTTTCAGGTTTGGCCAGTTCTGTGGCCCTTTTTAATAGGTTGAGACAATATTGGGAATCAATTAGATCAGAATCTTTTGGGTCTTTTCACAACCATAGTTTTGAAGTCTGGATTAGAGTTATATTCTTCTCCTCAGTCACTGCTGTCAGGTTTTGCTTGTTAGGTTAGTTTGGGATTGGGGAAGACTTGGAAGAATAATGTAACTGCTGACTTTTTTCTTTCTTTTGTTTATTTCATTAGGAATTAGAGGTATTTGCTGTGTTCTAGATTTATACCACCAAATCTCTTTTTGCTAGTGTGATTATAGTAGTCACAGTAGGTAGGATTTACTCTATAAAGCAGAATTTCTTCTGTTGCATGACTACTGCTTATAAATGTAAATGTGCTACTGTACTGATACCTCATTCCCTAGGTTTGCCCTCACAACTCTTTTCCTGTATCCATGCCTTTTCTTTTTTAGTCTTTTCTACTTCTGGTGCAGACCAGTCTTAGTGTTCATAATTTGTGGTCCAGTGCTTAAAGTTTCCTTGGTTTGTGGGTATTTTCATTGTGTACATTAAACATAGTATTTTTTTAACTGTATTCCACCTGATTTGAATTTTGAAAGACTATAAGATGTAATTTTCTCAAATCTTTGAAACATGCCAGTAATATGGATCGTTTCTGTATCTTAATATTATCTGAATATTTTTGTTAAAATATATGAAATAAAACTGATTTCTCCTCATTTGATTTTTTTCCATACTACACTGCACCTTTATAATTAGCATCCCATGCCAGAAATCCTCTAAGAATATTTAAAATAATCCAGCAGCTCTTTTGACAGCTGTTTTATGCATATTGTGTGTCATCCCATACATGTTCTGTTATCCGTAATAGAAAATGTGAAAAGATGTGATTTCATTTTGACATTTCATGATATGCATAGAAAATCATTATATAAGTTTGAATCCCTGTAAGTCACTTTCTTAGGCTCTTTCCAATGACTTGGAAGCGGTATAACAGCCAAGTAAGAGCTGACACTCTTGACAAGGTAGACCTGGTCAAATCCGAGCCATTCCATTAGATGGTTTTTTAATCATCTGCATATTCCTTAAGACTCTGGTTCCTCATTGGTTAAATTTGGGATAGCAGTGTGAGAGTAGTCATGAATTTAATACAAAGATTAAAGGTTTTTTAACTAAGAACTTAAAAGTATCTGGAAGCACACAGATAATAAAAATATGCAAGAATTACATTGTCTTTTATTAACACATACTGTACATATTAATGACATTCAGTGTGATATTTCTACATGTATATACAGTGTACACTGATCATATCCAACCATCAAGGATTACATGCTAAAGCTAGTTTGTGAGATAAAACTGAGTGTAGTCAAAATTACTCCTAACACTTTTCCTTTTTTGGTGGTATTAGGGTTGAACGCAGGGCCTCGCACTTGCAAGGCAGACATTCATCTACTTGAGCCATTCTGCCAGCCCTCCTAATCCTCTTAGTGCCTGCATTTATGAACTTAAATGTGTGTGTTAGTGAGCATAGGAGATATATATATATATATATATATATATATATTTAAATAATAAAAACAGAAGGTAGAAGTTGATAAGCGTTCTCGGAGTTCTGTAACTCAAGGTTTTGGGGAGTTCTTCATAACAGAAGAATTTAAATGAAGAGGATCAGAAGCCTTTGTTAAAAAAGTGAAGAACATGTTCCTTAACACATAGTAGGCACTAGGTAATTATTGAATAAATGCACCTTGAAAGTGATTAGATGTGTGAAGAGGAAAAAGGTAAATTTCTGGGCAGAAGTAAAAACATGAACAAAAGCAGAGAGTCATGGAATACTTATTAGAGGGCAATTCTGATTTTTTCTTTTGTTTTTGTTTCTTATACTTAACAAAAGAAAGTATTACAGTCTATGAAGAGGAGGTGAAAAGTGATTTGCAAAAGTAACATGGAACCAGATTATAAAGAGCTTTGTACGTCTTAAGGGTCAAACTCAGGAGTTCGTGTTTTCTTTGGTGGCTAGGAGAAGTCATGGAAAGGTGTTGAATAGCAAATGATAGGATCATAACTGGACTCTAGGAAGATGTATTCAGCAAAGGGTTTTTCCCCAATCCTAATTTTCTAAAGTACTTTAGGAGTTTGGAGAGTTGGTGTGTAAAATTTTGTGGGTTAGGCAATTCACCAACAGCTGCTAATTCCAAATTTGGGAGCAAGAGTAGGGTAGTCCCTTTACCTATAGAGCTGCTCTGATTGAAGGAAGAGTAAGTACTGCCTTCTCTGTCTCATTTGTGGCTGTAATCCTAAGCCAGGGTTCTGATTTAGGAATCCCAACCAACCATATTTGGCCATTTTCCACTACAGTCCAGACATCAGAGAGAGGCACAAGTGGGAAAAAAATTTCTTTCAGTATGGCAATACCAGGACAAACAGAGAAAGGTCTAGCAACCTAAGATCTGCTAGATCTGCTGTCTCTGAGGTACTGACAGTAGCTTCATATCAGGGAACTAGGGCAGGGGCAAAAAGTATATGTTGTCAAGTAGACTTGGCCGAACTGTGCTCTGATTGATCATTAATTATCTCAGGTCTGGTTCTTTAAGGTCTACTGGTGTCAGGGAAGTCACTACTGCTTGAGAGGGTGAATTTCTGTTCCTGTCATGGAATGACCTGCCTAAAAAAGCCTGCTCTTCCTGGAACGTGAGATAAGCCAGGGAAAGAAATGACTGAAAGGAAAGAGAGTAAGTTAGAAAGACAAAATGGAGTCAGTCAGCCCAATGATTAAGTCCCGGGTTTTCCCTGTTACATCTCCAGTGGTCTGACCTCAGACCACTGTTTGTTTCATTTAATAAAAGGATTCTAATAGAAAGAATACATACAAGCTCAACAAGTTGGCATTACATGTTGGTTGCCTTTTGAGAGAAAATTGGTGGAAGACAGTTGTTTAATCACAGTACTTTTGTAGTAATCATAGCAGGAAGTGAAAAGTAGAAATCTCCTGGATGGTACAGATATTTTAGAGGCAAAAAAATTACAGCGCTGGCAACATATTAGACATGAAAATCTCAGAATGATTGTATGACCTATCAGTATAGCACTTTATAACTATATATCATGATTGAGCAAGTGGTTGAAATTATGTTAATTTTAACAGGTACAAAAACAACATGCAAAAGAAGAATCTCTTGCTGATGACCTCTTCAGGTAAGGTTTGAGTTCACCTTTCTCATGTACTTAGGCGAGATGTTTATAAAATTGATTAAATATTTGTTTCTCCTACTCTTACAATAAACATCCTAGTCTGTTCACCTAAGGAATGCTTTGTTTTGTTTTGTTTTTGTTACTACTGGGGTTTGAACTCAGGGCTTCATACTTACTTGCTAGGCAGGTACTCTACCACTTGAGCCAATCTGCCAGTCCAAGAATGCTATGCTTTTAATATGTGTATTTCTTTTTATTACCTGAGCACCTCGTTTACTGGATATAGTTTCAAAATTTGAAGTTAATTTAGTTGTATCAGAGGGTATTTAAAATTTGTATTGGGCATTCACACAAAAGCTTGTAAACTGGGTGAATTTGGATAAATTTGTAAGATTTTTCTTCAGATGTGAATAGAATTATGAGTGAATATATTTTGAATCCAGACAAGTAAGATAACAGACCATTTGTTTAGTTTTAATTAACACAGGAATAAAAACAAAAAGGCTAGATTAGAGTTTCAAAGCAGGTTTTTATGGGAAGTTGTAGTGATTATGATTAAAAAGTACATATTTCTCAGCCAAGATGTCCCACTACTGACAAATGGATTAAGAAGATGTGGTAAGGTCTGGCAGAGTGGCTCAAGTGGCAGAGCACCTGCCTAGCAAGCACGTGAGGCCCTGAGTTCAAACCGCAGTACCTCAAAAAAAAAAAAAGAAAAATTCTATGCTTTGTCTTTCTTATTATTGCTTATGTCTTCTCTTTAACAAAATTGGAGAAAAGGGCAGAACAGGTTCTGCCTGGGGGGTGGAGGGGAGAGGGAGGAGGTAGGAAGCAGGGAGGAGAAATGAACCAATGTATGTACATAGGAATATATAAACAGAGAGAAAAAAAAGGCAAAAGCAAAAAAAAAAGATGATGTATTTATATACAATGAAATTTTACTCAGCCACAAAGAAGAAAGAAATTTTGCCACTCATAGGTAAGTAGAACTAGAGAACACCAACTTAAGTGAAGTTAGCAGGCTCAGAAGGCCAGAAGTCACATATTCTTCCTCATATGCAGATTATAGACCTAAAACAAACATATCAATATTACTGGACACGGGTGACCCTAAGAGGAGGCTGTGCAAGGGAGGGATAGGGCAAGGGAAGGAAACCAAAAATTTGAATGTGGTTGATGTGCTCATTGTACAGGAACAAAAACTAATCTTAAACTGGCCAAGGCCTAGGGAGTAGTGAAGAGGACTGGTAAGAGATGAACCAGTTGGGGTTCCATATATATGCATGGAAATAACACAGGAATCTCCCTGTATAGCTATCTTTATCTCAAACTAGCGAAAACACCATGTTTCTCTTAATATCTTTTATGTTTTTTCGGAGAACAGAAAGGCAGAACAGGTTCTTCTGCCTGTAGTGTGGGGGATGGGGATGGCAGAGAAAGGAGGTAGGAGGATGACTGGTGCAAATAATGTGTACACATGTATGTAAATGAAAAAATGATACAAGTTGAAACTGTTCCAGGAATTGGTGGGGGGGAGAGGAATGGATAAAAGAAACTAATAGAATGGGTGAGTTCAAGTATGATTTATTTGATACATTTTAAGAACCTTTGTAAATGCTACAGTGTACCCCCATGTAGCACAATAATAATAAAAAAATATAATAAATATACAAAAATGGCAAATGCTGGTAAAGATGTGGAAAAAAAAAAAGACTCTTGTATACTGTACACTGTTGGCGGGAATGTAAATTAGTATAGCCACCATGGAAAACAGTATAGATGTTCTTCAAGAAATTAAAAATAGATCTACTATATGATCCACGAATCCTACTACTAGGTATTTATCCTAAGTAAGTTTCTCAGCTTACACTCAACAGTGACAAAAAAATCTGAGATAACACAAAAGGAAGAAATTTTTATTTTGGATCTCAGTTGAAGAGGTTTCAGTCCATGGATATCTTGGTTCAGTTGTTTTTGGGCCTGTGGCAATGCAGAATCCCATGGAGGTTAGCATGTGCTGGAATTAAACTTTTCACCTCATGAAATCAGGGAGAGAGAGAGGTTAGAGTCAGGGTCCTAGAATGTATTTCAAAGGCATACCTACAATGTCCACTACACTATACCTGCTAAAAGTTCTATCAGCTCCCACTACTACCATAGGTTTCATTCAACACATGGTCTTTGGGTGATATTAGGCTCTAAACCATGATACAAAGTGAAATCAGTATATCACACAGAGACAATTGCATTCCCATGTTTATGCAGCATTATTTATAAGAGTCAGGATATGGAATTAAGGTGTCCATCAATGAATGAATGGATTAAAAAAAAAGTACGTATTTCTTAATCTGTTTTGCAATCAACTTTTTGTGATTCTGTTGATGAAAATGCGACAAACAATGCTGATTTTTTTATTAGTTGTTAAAATAGACTTATCTAGCTACTCAAGTGTATTTGCTTAATTGCTGTAGAAGAAGATTTTGTAAAGTAGCAGTTACACTTTAGGTTCATTTTGCTCTTTTGGGCAAATGGTATACTTTAATTTGAGGTGGTAGTGTTGTGAGACCTATTTGAAACCATACTGCATTTTTAAACTGAGTTTTAAAGTGTTTCATTATTTTTTAATGTATTGCATGACTTTAGTTGTTGTTGATGTTTCATTTTTACCAAATATTCATTAAAGAAACATCAGAGGTATAAATGGAAATTCAAATGTGTTTATCTGAATCTGGGGACACTGACAGTTTGAAAGCTCTTTAATGTTAAAAGTGAAAAAACTAGGATCCCTTATCTAAATGTCATTTAACCCCATTTCTTTCCTTGCAGATATAATCCTAATGTTAAGAGGAGAAGATAACTAAGAACATTAAAAGGAAGCTCTGGAAACACATCGCCTACAAACATTTACTTTAGGCAAACTGAGATCAGTGAATATTTTGTACAAGAGAGTTAAGTTACAAATACTTTATGGCCTAAATTTGTTAAATAAAATGCACAAAACTCATTCCTTTCATCTGTTATAATAAGAGTATTCTTTGTTCTGTTTTCAAGCTTTATCATTTCATCTCATGATTTCTTTTTCATTTTTAGATGTGTTTCTGCTGTATTGATATAGCTACAATCCAGAGTTCTAAAAGTATGTAAGGGTGAAGACTAAAGACTCCCTTCTTCTATTTTCCTATCTATTTGGTTTCCTTCCACAAAGATCTACAATACTTATTTCTTGTGAGTCTTTCCAGATTTTTAATTCCTGTTCAAATTCCTATGTGTATCATTTTTCAGTAATTCCCTACACAGATGGTATCAAAGCTTATATAGTGTTCTGTACCTTCCTGTTTTTCACTTAATAGATTAGAAGATCATAAGCATATCATCCTAATTTTCTGTTTTAATTTTTATTCTTTTTCTTTATACTGTAGTCTTCTGTAAACCAATGTGACCCAAATGAAATGACTTCAGTAGTGATGATTTCGCCCACATGTTATTCTAGTTCTAGAAACATGACAATATGGAGGACGTCATCAAACTCATAACCACAATCTCACCAGAATAGACTAGATCCCTTTTTGGTGGTTTTGCTGAGCTGAGTGTGCCTCTGTTTTGACCTTCTTAGAGTCCTGGTTTTACAACCTAAAGTAGAAATGGTGAAGTTGTCTTTTTTATACCTTAAAAGGGAGACGGTAACAGAAAATGGATGTTTTTTTTTTTCAAATTTATTAATATAGTCAAGTGGATTTCAACTTTCACTGTATGTTAGAATTGTAGTGAAATCTTGTCAGCTCTGAAGACTGATGCATTATATTCTAAAAAGTATAAGCCTTTTATACTGACTGAAAGATTCCTGATCTGTGTAAGTTTTGCCACCCTTACAGTCTTTCCATTTTTTAGGTTAAGTTAGTGCATT